ACACGCACACACACCACCCATCACGCACACGAACACATCATGCACGCACACACACACACACACATATCACGCACACACACACACACACATATCACGCACGCGCACCCATCAAGCACGCGCACCCATCACGCACGCGCACACATCACGCACGCGCACACATCACGCACACGCACACATCACGCACGCGCACACATCACACACGCGCACACATCACACACGCGCACACACACACACCCATCACGCACGCGCACACATCACGCACGTGCACACATCACGCACGCGCGCACACACACACACACACACACACACACAATCAGCACTAGAGTGGTCAAAATGGCTGAAACACTAAATTCGAATTTTTTACTTAAATATTATCAATATTCAAATTATATTCGAATTTAAAAGGCATAAGTGTGTGCGCGTGTGTGTGTGCGTGCGAATGTGTGGTGTGTGTGTGTGTGTGTGCGGGTGTGTGTGGTGTGTGCGCGCGCGCGTGTGTGTGTGGTGTGTGCGCGCGTGTGTGTGTGTCTCTCCACCTGTGGACGGGGTTTTTGATGCCCTGTCCATCTGAGCCCAGACCATCGCCCTCCTTCCAGCCCATCTTCATCAGCATCTTGAAGCCGATGTTCTCCACCGTCAGCTTGAACTCCTTGTACTCGGAGTAATCTGGATCTCTGCCCTCCTGCACATCAGACAGGAAATACACACACGTCACACCGCTGCTTCCGGTCTCATTTAGCAGACGCTTTTATCCAAAGAGGAACAAAAGCAATTCGTCCAATTCACATTTTACAGTTATTTATTTAGCAGACGCAGAACTGCAAGTATGACTGTTTTCAAACAGGTTCTGTGGGTGTCAGGTCACATGACGTGATCAGTCTCACCTTCAGAGCTTTAAACGTCTCCATGAACTTCTCCAGCTCATCCGGAGGCAGGAAGTCACCAATGAAGTGCTTCCCTTTGCCCATGTCCGTCAGCTGCTCCGCCCACTCTGTGACACACACACACACATCACATGTGTGTCATATAAACCCTCACATCATGAATGTGTATTCAGTCACTGTGTGACCTCTGACCTCGGGTCTTCTCCATCTCCATCTGTCTGAGCCGATGCTCCCAGGTTCCGTCCTCAGGATCCAGCTCCTCATCGCTGTCGTACTCGTGCTGGTGGTTTTTGATGGTTTTCTCCCACAACAGCTGCATGTCCTGCATCGCACGCTTGTGCTTCATGATCATGTCGAACATCTCCTGCATCTGATGCACACACACACATTCATACATGCTGTTCTTACACTCATGTTAAGTGCTATATTACTCTAGGGGTGTGCGATATTGACAAAAAATAATCTCAATATTTTCTGTGATTTTATCGATAACGATAATTAGAGTGTGTTATTGTGCTGGTATCTTAAGGACTGCCGTGGACAGCTGACTCCTAAAGTGTTTAATATTCTTCATATTCTGTGTGATCAGTTCACACTGATAGAAATTAATCTTTTTCAATAAGTTTAAACTGATTTGTACATTTTATGGGCATTTTTACCTTTATAAAGCCATTCTTTCTAAAAGTGTCCATTATCTTTTGAGTCAAATTCTTACATTTAATCAGTGATTTAGAATAATAAGACATTTGGGCTGTTAGCAAGCAAATTAAATCAGTATTAATAAAATTCATCTTTGCAGTGCAGAGGAAACACAGAAGCTGCGTCTGAAGAGGCATTTAGATGTGTTTACACACAAGACATGAATGCATTTAACCTGCAGTTACTAATGCATAAATAATGTTTTGATATATTAAACAAACATTGAATACTGATATATGAAATTATTTAAATAATAAAAGATACTATAAAAGTTAAATTAAAACCGCCAGCAAGTCACTGTTAATAAGTGAGTCACTGCGAATGAACCGAATCATTTAAACGGTTGATTCATTCAGGAACGAATCACCGTCATGTTGCTCAGACACACAAAACAGTGCTGTAGCTGTGTTTGGAATTATTTCTGTTGTAGAAATAGTGCAGAAACATTTTCTGGCCCCATGTCTTGAATTTGTGATCATTTTAAATGTATTTTAATAGACTGAGTCATGCACTTAAAGAACGCAGTCTAATATACGCACACTAGTCTAGACTTCAACAACTGAAGTCAACAATTAAAATAACAATTACGATATTATCACAGACGATATATCGCACACCCCTATATTACTCTATAATCTCAGCTGCTTGATTGTTTATATCGTCACAAATGTAACTATCATCCTCCAGCTCTAATCTGATCAATGCGACTAAGGCATGACGATATTATGATATAAACAATAAAACAAATAATTATGATAAATATTGACATCATGATTTTATGTAAAGCTGCTTTAAAACAATGTGTATTGTGAAAAAAGTGCTATATAAATTAAATTTACTTTAAATTTTTTATGAGAGAATCATTGCAGGGTAAAAGGAGGTGAAAATGGTGAAGAACTTCCTTTTAACGTACAAACTAGACTCTAAATTTCCTGGAAATCATATTTATGAATCTCTTTATAATTACATGTGTTTTACTTTCAGTTTCAGCACTAGTTCATTTCAATGTTATGGCATGTGACTCTTAACGACATGATTGACAGTTTACGGGGTTTATGGGTAATGTGTGTGTGTTCGTACTTCCTGTTGTTCTTTGAGTTGTTTCTTCTGTTCGTCTGACAGCTCTGTCACACCCACCAGACCCACCGGCTTCCCCTTCTTATATCCCAGACTGCTCAGCTCCTGATCTACACACACACACACACACACACACACACACACACACACACACACACACAGAGTACAAATGAGGACAAATTATGAATAAAGACGTAAAAGAGTGTGATTCTGTGTGTGTGCGTGATTTTGTGTGAATGTATGTGTATCCGTGTGTGATTGTGTGTGTGTGTGTTTGTGTGCGCGTTTTTGTGACAAATGAGGACATAAATTTGTATAATGACAAAGGTATGACATAGGTATTACAAGGAGAAGGTGACTTTTCAGGACATTACCCCATGTCCCCACTTTTCAAAACGCTTATAAATCACACAGAATGGAGTGTATTGAAAATCTGAAATAGCACAAAGTTTCCTGTGAG